CTTCCCGGAAAATAACCCCAAACCCCCCCAAAGAGCAGCCCGAGCCCCCCCGGCCCCCCCGGCCCCCTCACCCAGGGTGGCCCCGCGGTGCTCGGGGGTCCCGAAGCCCAGGTGGGCGTAGCCGCTCTCTGTTAATTGGGGAGGGGTCGTTAGCGCCTCATTTGCTTAAAGCCCCCCCGAAACCTCTTCCCAATTCATTGGGAAGCGCCCTGACCCCCCCTCCAAAAGACCCCAAACATCTTTGGGACCCCCCCCAAATCCCCCCCCCCCCACCCCCCCGGGCCCCCCCCCCCCCCCCCCCCCCCCTCCCGGGGCCCGCAGGTGTTTTGGGGGGGCGGGGGGGGGCCCGTGTCGGGGGGAGGGGGCGGCAGGACCCCGCAGCTGCTGCGGCGCTCGGGCCGCGTCCCGCCGCCCCCTGCCTGGTGCCTCAGGACGTCCACGAGCGCCCTGGGGACATTTGGGGACATTTGGGGACAGGGGCAGGACCGGGCTTCGGAGCCGGTGGCAGCCCCTGTGCCACCCCCCGCCCGTGTCCCTGTGTCCCCCTGTCCCCCATCCCTGTCCCCGTGTCCCCGTGTTTCTGTCCCGTGTCCCGGTCCCCGTGTCCCCCATCCCTGTCCCTTTTCCCGTGTCCCGATCCCTGTCCCCATGTCCCGGTCCCCGTGTCCCTGTCCCTGTGTCCCGTGATCCGATCCCTGTCCCCCTGTCCCCCATCCTTGTCCCTGTGTCCCCGTCCCCGTGTCTCTGTGTCCCGTATCCCGATCCCTGTCCCCGTGTTTCTGTCCCGTGTCCCGGTCCCGCTGTCCCTGTGTCCCCCATCCCTGTCCTGCGTCCCTGTCCCTGTGTCCCCCGTGTCCCTGTCCTGTGTCCCTGTCCCTGTGTCCCCCGTGTCCCTGTCCCTTTTCCCGTGTCCCCCTGTTCCCCTCCCCACCCGCCTGTTCCTGTCCCGTGTCCCTCGTCCCTGTCGCTGTCCCCGTGTCCCGATCCCCGTGTCCCTTGTCTCTGTGTCCCGTGTCCCGATCCCTGTCCGTGTCCCCCGTGTCCCCGTCCCTGTGTCGCTGTCCCCGTGTCCCGATCCCCGCGTCCCAGTCCCCCGCTCCCCCCGCGCCCCCCCAATGTCCCCCCAATGTCCCACCTGCTGCCACCCCCAATGTCCCACC